TCACTCTCATGTTTATTATAGGTCATTAGGAGCCACAGGTAGCGGGTAATTAGCATGGTTATAAGCAGGCAGCGAGGGTGCAACCTCAGCCACCTCTCACATCATTAGTCAAAGTCGCACCTCATCAAAGTCATATTCCTCTTTAATTACTCTGGCTGCTCCAGTGGTAAAGCCTCTTTGAGGCTCAGAGACGTGGCTGGCTGGTGCACTGCTTCCTCTCTCTCACTCTCTCTCCCTCTTTCTCCCTCTCCCTCTTTCTCCCTCTCCCCTTCTTCCTTCAGGAAATTCCTCTGGAATTCATAGTCCCTTTTTTTTGTAGTCTAATTTCGTTTGTGCCTCACCCTATGTTTATCTCCCCAAGTGTTTCTCTCCTCAGTGTTTGTCTCTCTCCTCGTTTCACTTCCATGTGGTACCACTTGGTTAAACCTGCTCGTTGTCATTCACATTTTCCCCAATACACTTAATCAATGTTGTCTTCGTCAGTCTTGTTTTTCATGTTTCCACAACGTCATTGGGGCCCCAGTTCTCTTAGTTTCCTTGTGGTTAAATTTCCTTGTTCTTTCTGGTGTCGTTACCAGTATGTCGTTACTCGCCCCATTCCTTCCTTGGTCTTCTGGTGTTGGGTGTGTACACTCTCATCACTATCAAAAGTCTCTTCTTCCTATTCTTCCTGCAACAATGTAGTCTGTAATTCCAGTTTCAGTGATTCTCAGTTCCTCAAAGCACCATGAATTTCTTAACTCCCTAATCTATCCTGTTTTCCAGTTATAAATTTATTCACCATTCGGTAACCCTCGGGAAATATTGCATTTATTTTCTTTTACTCCCATGAATTTTGTCTCTATGATAGTTAACATACCAGGGCTTTCCTTTCCTTTCCTTTCTTTTCTTTCAGTTCCCTTCTTCGTGACTACATCTGTGTTGGTACCTATCACCAGTCTTCTGTCCCTCATTTGTTCGGTGCTCTTGAATTTTTTTCTGTTTAATTTAACAAAATTAGATATATCAGTAGTATATTACAATATTCTGTATGATAATTACATAGTGGGAACACCAGCAGTGTGATGTTATATTGTTCTGAATGATAGTTACACCGTGGGAACACCAGCACTGTGATGCTGCACTATTCTGTATGATAGATACACTGTAGAAACAAAAGTTTATGTTGTTACATTATACTGTGGAAGAGGGAGAGGAAGGGCGGCTGAAAAAAAAAGGAGTTTGATAATTGTATGGAGGATGATGACTGATAGGCCGGTTTTAGTGGTTAGTGAGAGGGGAGGGGGAGGTGGGGGGAGGAATACATATTGACGGTGATTAAGAGTGTAGAGGGAAGGAGGGATTGGGAGGATGAACAAGAGTGCGGAGAGCAGGACTGGGGGTGTACCTGCGATCACTTCTGTACATTTTAATTTTTCATGTGTGTGTGTACTCACCTATTTGTACTCACCTATTTGTGGTTGCAGGGGTCGAGTCATAACTCCTGGCCCCGCCTCTTCGCTGATTGCTACTAGTCCTCTCTCTCCCTGCCCCATGAGCTTTATCATACCTCGCCTTAAAACTATGTATGGTTCCCGCCTCCACTACGTCACTTTCTAGGCTATTCCACGGCCTGTCTACTCTATGACTGAAGAAATACTTCCTAACATCCCTTTGATTCATCTGAGTCTTCAACTTCCAATTGTGACCTCTTGTGTCTGTGTCCCATCTCTGGAACATCCCGTCTTTGTCCACCTTGTCTATTCCGCGCAGTATTTTATATGTCGTTATCATGTCTCCCTTGACCCTCCTGTCCTCCAGTGTCGTCAGGCCGATTTCCCTCAACCTTTCTTCGTAGGACAATCCCCTTAGCTCTGGGACTAGTCTTGTTGCAAACCTTTGCACTTTCTCTAATTTCTTGACGTGCTTGACCAGGTGTGGATTCCAAACTGGTGCTGCATACTCCAGTATGGGCCTGACGTAAATGGTATACAGAGTCTTGAACGAATCCTTACTGAGGTATCGGAACGCTATCCGTAGGTTTGCCCTGGCGCCCGTATGCTGCAGCAGTTATCTGATTGATGTGCGCCTCAGGAGATATGCTCGGTGTTATACTCACCCCCAGATCTTTTTCCTTGAGTGAGGTTTGCAGTCTTTGGCCATCTAAACTATATTGTGTGTGCGGTCTTCTTTGCCCTTCCCCAATCTTCATGACTTTGCATTTGGCAGGGTTAAACTCAAGGAGCCAGTTGCTGGACCAGGCTTGTAGTCTGTCCAGGTCTCTTTGTAGTCCTGCCTGATCCTGGTCCGATTTGATTCTTCTCATTAACTTCACATCATCTGCAAACAAGGACACTTCTGAGTCTATCCCTTCCGTTATGTCATTCACATATTCCAAGAACAGCACAGGTCCTAGGACTGACCCCTGTGGAACCCCGCTTGTCACAGGCGCCCACTCTGACACCTCGTCACGTACCATGACTCGTTGTTGCCTCCCTGTCAGGTATTCTCTGATCCATTGCAGTGCCTTTCCTGTTATGTGTGCCTGATCCTCTAGCTTTTGCAGTAACCTCTTGTGAGGAACTGTGTCGAAGGCCTTCTTGTAGTCCAAAAAAATGCAGTCGATCCACCCCTCTCGCTCTTGTCTTACTTCTGTCACCTTGTCATAAAACTCCAGTAGGTTTGTGACACAGGATTTTCCTTCCCTGAAACCGTGCTGGTTGTCAATTATACACTTGTTTCTTTCCAGGTGCTCCACCACTCTCCCCCTGATGATCTTCTCCATGACTTTGCATACTATACACGTTAGTGATACAGGTCTGTAGTTTAGTGCCTTATGTCTGTCTCCCTTTTTAAAAATTGGGACTACATTTGCCATCTTCCATACCTCAGGAAGTTGCCCAGTTTCAATTGATGTGTTGAAGATCTTTGTTAATGGCACACACAGTATCTCTGCTCCCTCTTTAAGAACCCACAAAGAGATGTCTGGTCCCACCGCCTTTGAGGTTTCAAGTTCGCATAGCAGCTTCTTCACCTCTTCCTTGGTTATATGTACCTCATCCAGCACTTGCTGGTGTACCCCTCTGTTCTGATTTCCTGGAGTCCTACGGGTTTCCACTGTAAATACTTCTTTAAATCTCGTGTTGAGCTCCTGACATACCTCTCGGTCGTTTCTTGTGAACTCCCCATCACCCTTCCTCAGTCTGATTACCTGGTCCTTGACTGTTGTTTTCCTCCTGATGTGGCTGTACAACAGCTTCGGGTCAGACTTGACTTTCGATGCATTGTGAAATTTTCATATTGTCGCTGAGCCTCCCTTCTTATCTGTGCATATTCGTTTCTGGCTCTTCGGCTAATCTCTTTATTTTCCTGAGTTCTCTGTCTTCTGTACCTTTTCCATTCTCTAGTACACCTAGTTTTTGCCTCCCTACACCTTTGGGTGAACCAAGGACTCGTTCTGTTCTTCCCATTATTTCTGTTTCCCTTGGGAACAAACCTCTCCTCTGCCTCCTTGCATTTTGTTGCCACATAGTCCATCATTTTTTGTACTGGTTTTCCTGTCAGTTCCCTCTCCCACTGAATGTCTTGCAGGAAGTTCCTCATGCCTGAGTAGTTCCCCCTTTTGTAGTTTGGTTTTTCCTAACCTATTCCTGCTACTCTCTCCACTTGAAGCTCAACTATGTAGTCGAAGCACAGAACCATATGATCACTAGCTCCCAGGGGCCTTTCATACATGATATCCTCGATGTCCGAACTACTCAAGGTGAATACAAGGCCCAGTCTTGCTGGTTCATCCTCGCCTCTCTCTCTGGTAGTGTCTCTAACATGTTGATGCATGAGGTTTTCCAGTACCACATCCATCATCTTGGCTCCCCATGTTTCGGGACCCCCATGGGGCTCCAGGTTTTCCCAGTCAATCTCCTTGTGATTGAAATCACCCATAACTAGTAACTTTGCTCCCCCCATGTGTGCTCTCCTGGCCACCTCGGCTAGTGTGTCGACCATTGCTCTGTTGCTCTCATCGTATTCTTCTCTTGGCCTCCTACAGTTCTGTGGTGGGTTGTACATTACTGCAATTATCACCTTATGTCCCTCAGACTGGATTGTTCCTACTAAGTAGTCCCTTTCGCCCGTGCCATCCATTCCTTCCATTTTCTCAAAACCCCACTGGTTTTAATGAGCAGTGCAGTGTGTGTGTGTGTGTGTGTGTGTGTGTGTGTGTGTGTGTGTGTGTGTGTGTGTGTGTGTGTGTGCGTGCGCGTGCGTGCGTGTGTGTGTGTGTGTGTGTGTGTGTGTGTGTGTGCGTGTGTGCGCGTGTGTGCGCGTGCGTGCGTGCGTGTGTGTGTGTGTGTGTGTGTGTGTGTGTGCGCGCGCGCGCGCGCGTGTGTGTGTGTGTTTATTATATATGTAAGTGTGTACGTTCGTGCACGCGTGTGCGCTTTACTTAAGCATGCCATTGTTAGCTGCCTAAGTTTAGTACTAAGAAATCTAGTCTTAAGCCAATATTTATTATCTTAATATTCATTAATAATATTCATTACCGTAATATTCATTACCATAATATTCATTACCAATATTCATTACCTTATTTTTTGTTTTGTATTGAAGCTACTGTGATATATGTATTTTCTGCAATAATTCTCTTCATTATAAATGTTCTTTATTCCATAAATCTCAGTGTCAAGTAATTTATTGCACTTTTCTCTAAACTAGGAATTTTCCTTTCAATACTTAAGTGTTTTTCAACTTTTGCACTTATTGTTATGACTAATAATTCATTTATCTTGCCTGTATATTTGTCATGTTTATATAAATTTTTATTCAAACTTTTGAATGGAGTACGTGGCAGCACGTGTTTGTTAATGTTTATATAGCGCCACGCGTGTTTGTTAATGTTTATATAGCGCCAGGTGGGTTTGTTTACGTTGCTTTGGGCCACGTGCTTGTGTTTACTTTGTCGCCACGTGTGTGTGTTGTTGTTGTTGCCAGCACTGACCTCTCCCTCCTCCTGCCCTGTCCAGAGCGGAGTGCAAGTGTTCGTAAGTCCTCGCTGGCAGTCCTCCTACCCCGGCTCTCCAGTCACCTCGGCTCCTCTGAGTCCCTCAACCACAGTCCCCAGTCCTCCCCAGGTGAGTCCTGTGCCCTACCCAGGTGAGTCCTATGTCCTCCCCAGGTGAGTCCTGTGTCCTTCCCTGATGAGTCCTGTGTCCTCCCCAGGTGCGTCCTGTCCTCAGGTGAGTCCTGTGTCCTTCCCAGGTGAGTCCTGTGTCCTACCCAAATGAGTCCTGTGTCCTATCCAGGTGAGTCCTGTATCCTTCTCAGGTGAGTCCTGCGTCCTCCCCAGGTGAGTCTTGTGTCCTCAGGTGAGTCCCACTTTCTTTCCCAGGAGCTAGGGCTCGACCCCTGTAACCACAAAGACGAGTACAGGTAAGATAGACACATTGGACCATACAGGACGATTGACATAGTGGACTATACAGGTGTGATAGAGAAACATACAGGTGAGATTCTTGGTTATTTTTTGTTAAATAGTCTTACTAATATATTTCTAAGTAATTAATTTAGCAGATAAATAAGATTCCGGAATTTCTATCTGTTTTAGTGAATAACTTTTTATTATTGAACCGAGAGAACTGGTGACCCTAACTGGTGGAACTGGTCACCATAGCTGGTGGAACTGGACACCATAGCTGGTGGAACTGGACACCATAGCTGGTGGAACTGGACACCATAGCTGGTGGAACTGGTCACCATAGCTGGTGGAACTGGACACCAAAGCTGGTGGAACTGGTCACTAGAACTGGTGGGACTAGTCACTATAACTGGTGGAACTGGTCATCATAACTGGTCGGACTGGTCATCATAACTGGTGGGACTGATCACTATTCTTTTCACAGCGGTTGTTCTGCATGCATTATTTTACATGGAAGTCAGGGAGTATAAAGCACTCCATCATTAAGTGACCACTTGTTGCCTCTCCATAGTTGATGTGGGTAATCAGCTTGCATCTGTGTACCCTCTTGACGCCTTGCCTCACTAAGAACCCAGCATATTGTTCAGCATAAGTGGTGGGGGATATTTTCCCTTACCTCTAAATTTGCTTAGACTCCTCGCCAATAACATGAACTGCGGAATGAGAAAAATATGTTTTAAATAGTTTTACTTGTGTTGTGTTATCACTTAGGTAATATATGAGTGAGTTGGTCACGGCAATAGCAGGTTGGTAGTCAGTGTAAATTGCTATGTAATGTTATAAATGGAATATATTTCAAGCGCTCAATAACCAAAAGGTTTTCGTGCTTCGTTAACACGATAGGAGAAGAATCCTCCAGGTCCCGACTCTGCTGACAACCTCCTTCATCTACGTTATCAGTGTGCCTGAGCGTTGTGATCCTCTCTTACTGGTCTGCGCTCGTACACATGGGTTATTTCACACTCGTTCAGTCTGCATAACATTTGTTCATTGTTTAATGTATGAACATAGTGGCCAGCGTCTGTGCTTCATCTAATTTTTGTATAGGCTATGTTAGATGGGAACTGAAGGCAGTAGCTGCATATTTCAAGATCGGTTTTAAACGTGGTAAAAAGTGCTTGAAGGAGTCTTTGTTCAGATTTCTAAAGGCCATTTAACGCTTGCTAGGCGTGCTTTGAGAAGCAGGCAGGCAGGAGGTCGGGCAGGCGAGCGAGCGGGTGGATAGCAAGAAAAATAAAGAGTGGGCAGTACTATATGACAGAGACGGGTGGGAGCAACTCTACGGAGGTTTGTAGCCGAATTTCACTACACGGCGCCTCAGCCTACCTCATCCACCACAACAGTAGTGACAATCACAAGAGCTGTTCTCTCCTATATGTACTCACGAATATGTGGTTGCAGGCATCGATTCACAGCTCCAGGCCCCGCCTTTTCGCTAGTCGCTACTAGGACACCCTCTCTCCTTACTCCAAGATCCTTATCATACCTCTTAAATAAATAAATAACAAAAAGGCACAATACCGTGACTGGAACGATACACAAATAACCCGCACATAAAAGAGAGAAGCTTACGACGACGTTTCGGTCCGACTTGGACCATTGACAAAGTCACACTAACAGAGGTGGAGCAGGACGGCTATATATAGGCAGGAAGAGGTGGAGGTAGTAGTAGTAGTAGTAGTACAAGAATTGTATATAATACCGACAAGATGAAATTAAGACACATGCACAACACCCGGGCATCCCCATCGTAGACGTTTCGCCATCCAGCCAGCCACTGGATGGCGAAACGTCCACAACAAAGACAACCAGACGCCGCACATTGACTGGTCTTCTGCTAAAACTGTCTTCCCTACTTCCAACTCGAACAGTCGCCGTCTAGTTGAATCCTCTCTAATACACAACTTTCCTTGTATGAACCTTAGCCCTGGCTTCGTCTCTGTAGATGCCTTCCTCTCCCACTACATTGTAAAATGCTCCAAACTTCAGAACACCCGTGACTTAACCTGAATCCTCATTTTTTCTTTCTTTTTCTTCTTCCTCTTCCCCTTTCCTCTTTCCTTTTCTCCTCTGGGTTGTCTTTCTCTCTCCTGTCTCGTGTTTCTGTTCCTTCTTCATTTATTTTATATCACCACTTCCCCTTTCACGCACCTCTGTGCGCTTGCTCTCCCTCTGTGGGCATCTAGCTCTCTTGCAGTGCTCCCCTTCCTTTGTTTTTGACTGGCTCGTCATCCTTATTTCCCACTTCTACCACTACCACTACTACTACCTCTTCTTCTTCTACTACTACTACAACTACTGATGAAATTAAGACACATGTGCGGCGTCTGGTTGTCTTTGTTGTGGACGTTTCGCCATCCAGTGGCTGGCTGGATGGCGAAACGTCTACAATGGGGATGCCCGGGTGTTGTGCATGTGTCTTAATTTCATCTTGTCGGTATTATATACAATTCTTGTACTACTACTACTACTACTACTACTACCTCCACCTCTTCCTGCCTATATATAGCCGTCCTGCTCCGCCTCTGTTAGTGTGACTTTGTCAATGGTCCAAGTCGGACCGAAACGTCGTCGTAAGCTTCTCTCTTTTATGTACGGGTTATTTGTGTATCATACCTCTTCTTAAAGCTATTTATGGATCTTGCCTCCACTGCTTCACTTTCCAGATTATTTCACTTCCTGACAACTCTAAGGCTAAAGAAATACTTCCTAACATCTTTATGGTTCATCTGAGTTTTCATTTTCCAGGTGTGGCCCCTTGTTCCTGTGTCCCATCTCTGAAACATTCTAGCCCTGTCCACCTCGTAAATTCCTCTAAGTATTTTATACGTCGTTAACACGTCCTCCCTTTCCCTCGTCTCCTCTAGTGTCATCAGGTTGAGTTCCCTTAACCTCTCCTCATAAGATATACCCTTAGCTCTGGGACTAGTCTTGTTGCAAACTTTTGCATTTTCTCCAATTTTTTACATGTTTACATGCTGTTTACATAATACTGCATACTCCAGTATGGGCTTGACGTACACAGTGTGCGGTGTCATGAATGACTCCTTACTTAGATGTCGATATGCTATTCTCAGGTTTGCCAGATGCCCATATGCTGTAGCGGTTATTTGACTGACGTGCGCCTCTGGGGACGTGCTTGGTATAATACTCACCCCAAGATCCTTTTCCTTAAGTGAGGTTTGCAGCTTTTAATCCCCTACCCTGTACTCCGTCTGCGGTCTTCTTTGTCCTTCCCCAAGCTTTATAACCTTGCACTTGCTGGGGTTAAACTCCAGGAGCCATTTATCGGGCCAGGCTTGCAGTCTGTCCAGATCCCTTTGTATTCTTACCTGATTCTCGTCCGCTTGTATTCTCATTATTTTCACATCATCGGCGAACAGGGACACCTCTGATCCTGTTCCTTCCATCATATCATTTACATATAAAAGAACCAGCGCCGGACCTAGGACTGACCCTTGTGGTACCCCACTCGACACTTGGGCCCACTCTGACACCTCATTACGTTCCAACATTCGTTGTTTCCTTCCTGTCGGATATTCCCTGATCCATAACAGTGCTTTCCCTACTATTCCTGCCTTCTACTCTAGTTTTGAACCAGTCTCTTGTGTGGTACTGTGTTGGAAGCCTTCTTATAGTCCAAAAGGATGCAGTATACTAACTCCTCTCTCTCTCCTGCCTTACTTCTGTTACTTTCTGGAACTCAAGTAGATTTGTGACACAGGATTTCCCATTCTGTGATTGTCATGTATGAGCCCAATCCTTTCTGTGTGCTCCACCAATCTTCTGATAAACTACTCTATGATTTTGCTTACTATACATGTCAGTGACACTGGTCTGTAGTTTAAAGCTGCCTGTTTGTCTCCTTTCTTAAAATATGGAACTACATTTCCTGTCATCCACACCTCAGGCAGTTACCTTGTTTCGATAGATTTGAGGATTGCTGCTAACAGCACACACAGTTTATACTGTTCCCAGTTAATATACGTGATTGACACATCAGAGGGGACTGAGTCCTGTGTCACTTTGCTGACGATATAAAACTCATGTGAAGACTAAGAGTATGAGAGAACAGTGATAAACTCCGGAGAGACCTCAACAAATTGCAGACGAGTCAAACAAGTGCATGCATGCATGCGCTCTGGAGAAGGTGACAGATAGATCAGATGCGGAGTGCAGAATGTGCAGAGAGAAGCTGGAGACATCAGGGAGTGAAAAGGACCCGGGGTAAATATAACACTTAATAACCAGAATTGCATATAAACCGTATAACGGCAGCGATACACATACGTTTCTCAAATGTCAGAATAGCATTCAGAACCTTGTTCACTGCATATGTTGGTTCAGTAATTTAGTATGCAGCCCCAGCATGGAGCCCGCACCTGGTCACACACATGAAGAAACTAGAAAAATCCTAAGGTTTGCAGTACCAGAATTGAGAGGCATGCGCTGAGTGGTTGACAGAACAGAACTAGAACGTGACGACCTTAAGAGGGGAGAACAATAGGGGACATGATTACTACTTACATAATCTTAAGAGAAATTGATAGAGTTTTTATATATATGTCGTGCTGAGTAGATGAAACTTGCGATTTTGGCTTAAATAGCAACGCTCTTCTTGCCGAATAAGGCAAGCGAAAATTTGTGTATGCAATA